CAATGGAAAGGCCTCGACCTGGGGAGACCGCCTTTTTGATCACGGTACTCCCTGTACCAGGTAAGTATGCTTGGATATCTGACATTTGCCCATTTGAGTAATACAAGAGTAAATTTAGAAAGAGGTATTCGAACATGTTATAGTCAGCCGATACATCATTTAAAAACCTACAATGAAACAATTAGAATTCGCATTTAGGGACATTTCTTTACTTCCGACTGATTTCATTGAAACGCGTTGTTCTATCAATATTTAAATTAAGCTTTTTTTGCAATATTTTGAATAGAGGTTAATAGAAATGAATAAGTTGAAAATAAAACCTTAAATTTTTTTTTTTAAATTAAGGCAGATACGAATTGTTTCTATTTAATGATTCAAACATGTCGCAGAAAAAAAAAATATGCGCCTACTGGTTGAAATATTACGACTGTGTACATTATCAAAGGACTTTTTTGTTGAGAACTATTTCTAAGGATGCCGAACCGGATGCAATTAAATCAAAGCCGCACCCGGAAGTAATTCATTTCAAGAGGAATAGTCTATCACCAACCCACCACGGACCACCAGAACGGTGCATATTTTAGAATTTAGTTACTATAATAACTCTAATGATTTTAAAACATTGCCTACGATCGAGTAAATTTAAGCAAAATGGCACGAGCAATGGAATACACTTATTATATTGGTTTATGTGAATCATTGAAAAATATACAAACTGTTTCAGATGGTTTATACATAACTCAGGAGTAACCACAGAGACACATACTACGTACACTGTTGTTATGTGTCTGGAATAACTCAGATTTATCTGGGACTATTAGTTAGTCACAGGATTTATATATACAATTCTTTGCACATCAATACTTCTGAAAGAAAAAGGCATTACCAGGCCCCTTTAATTGGAAAATAATTTTTTTTTCATAAATTTACCAAATAACTCAGATAATCAGGGCAATATATTTATTTTGAATTTAGTCTTATATGTATCTTTAAATTATTTTAAGGCTTCAAATATTTAGAATTTTGCAAAAAAGCTGCAATAAACTGCTTCGCCAAGCGCAGCTGGATACGAACGCATAGGTACAAAAAGGCTAAACGGTTGGGGCAAAAATGGACACAATATTCAAGCTTGATACAGGTCTGAATTTGGATTGTAATTAAATATTTGACACATTATAGGTTTCTGACATAGAATAAATGTAGTCAAAGAACTTGAAATTGGTTATATGACTTGAATTTATATTCAATTGAAGATTTCTTGCTGTTCTGCAATACACTGTGTTGTTGCGCAATACTTTGTAAATCTGTTTTCAGACTATATACAAAGAATTAGCAAAATAAATTATTTTCTTTGGAAAATTGACAATTTCTTAAATCTTGAGGAAAATATTTGAAGAAATTTTCTTTTTTGTAAAATGTGGTACAATTTAAGATCCATCCATCCATCCATCCACTTAAAAGTTATTGTCTGAAAACTAGAAAAATGCTTGTTTTAGACCCTTTTTGATCCCTACCGGTAATTCCTGAACAGTTTGGGCAATTACCCCCAAAATGAATCCCAACCTTCTACTTGTGGTATTGAACCTTGTGGTACAATTTCAAAGCAATCAAAATACTTATACACAAGTTATTGTCCTGAAAGTAGAAAAATGCTTGTTTTGGGCCCCCCTTTTTGGCCCCTAATTCCTAAACGTTGGGACCATCACCCCCAAAAACAATCCCAACCTTCCTTTTGTAGTATTGAATTGAATCTTTTGCTTAAATTTCATAGAGATCCATAACACTTAAACTAAAGTTATTGTCCGCAAACCAAATGTCTCCGAACGACGACGACAACTAAGTAATTGCAATATAAAAATTGCTGAAAAAGCCTAATTTTTAAATCTTGTCATTAATATTTTAGATGGGCTTGAATACGTACCCCCATTAAGTTAATTTTCTTACAATATATATTTCATAAAAATATTATTGTGTGCAAAATCTTTTTTGTTGTAAAGCCATTTCTCATATCTATTTCGTCTTTAAATATGTTTTGGTAAATTTCAACGTCATAGTATAATGCCCAGATTATAACAGCTGTTCATTTATTTATGGGTACAATTAACATAATTTTGAAGAAGTAAAGTACTTTCACAACTTTAGGGGACAAATAAAAGCTCTTATCATACCTTCGACTTTAATACTGAAACATGCTGCTGCAGATTAACACAATCTTCACATTCTCAGATGATAGAATAACCCAAAAGTCTGGGAACAAAATTATAGATAAAAAGAACATAACATGAAAGGCCTGAATCATACAGCCATAATCATATTACATAAACTTTTTCACAGAAGCCCACTTTTTCCATTTAATATTACTTGCACAATGTTCAGTGTTTAATCGTGCTGTAATCATGCAGAGGATTTACATGTTTTGTTCTGTGCAGGTGTGAAATTGTAGGAGTTTGTGCAGGTGTGAAATTGTAGGAGTTGTACAGGTGTGACATGGTAGGGGTTGAACAGGTGTGACAGGGTAGGAGTTGAACAGGTGTAACATGATAGTTGTACAGGTGTTGCAACATGGTAGGACTTGAATAAGTTGTAACTAGTTGTACAGGTGTAAAGGGGTAGGAGTTGCATATTGTACCATGATAGGAGTTAAACAAACATGTAGTAAAATTCGTATTATTTGAAAATATATGTGAAATTAGACTTGGCTTCATTTAAAACAGCAGTCTTGTTCTTCCTCTTATCTAGCTGTTTTTGAAATGGCTTCAAACCTAGTGAAATTTTAAATTGAAGTTATTTGCAAACTTCTCAATCCAAGTCTATACCTAGATCAGAAAAAAATGTACAGCACTCATCTATTACTTTTTCTAGTGCAGATTATAAGTTAACAGTTTTGACAGTCATACAAAGTAAAGTGTGAGGTTTGCAGGATACATAAAACTGCTTTTAACCCCAGCACTTTTTGTACATGAACCAATTCAGGCTTTCCAGACTGTGTTATTTTTGTCTTTGTTTATGCATCTTTTTATTTGCAGTATTCAGGTATGTGTCTTTGTACATCTTGTTATTTGCATGATTCAGGTATGTGTCTTTGCTTGTATATCTTGTTATTTGCATGATTCAGGTATGTGTCTTTGCTTGTATATCTTGTTATTTGCAGGATTCAGGTATGTGTCTTTGTTCATCTTTTTGTTTGCAGGATTCAGGTATGTGTCTTTGTTTGTACATCTTTTTATTTGCAGGATTCAGATATGTATCTTTGTTTGTACATCTTTTTATTTGCAGGATTCAGGTATGTGTCTTTGCTTGTACATCTTTTTATTTGCAGGATTCAGGTATGTGTCTTTGCTTGTACATCTTTTTATTTGCAGGATTCAGGTATGTGTCTTTGCTTGTACATCTTTTTTTATTTGTAGGATTCAGGTATGTGTCTTTGTTTGTATATCTTTTTATTTGCAGGATTCGGGTATGTGTCTTTGTTTGTAAATCTTGTTATTTGCAGGATTCAGGTATGTGTCTTTGTTTGTACATCTTTTTATTTGCAGGATTCAGGTATGTGTCTTTGTTTGTACATCTTGTTATTTGCAGGATTCAGGTATGTGTCTTTGTTTGTACATCTTTTTATTTGCAGGATTCAGGTATGTGTGGTTGATGTGGTATGTTATACTGTTGTACAGTCCAGTATTTTGGTGATTCATGCTACCATTTATATGGTGCCTACATTTTTGACAGTAGTCTTCAAGAAAAGTCTGATATATTAATCAATTATCATGAAAATCAGGTCAAAATCAGGCCACCCTTGTCAGTCAGACATGTACACCTCACATTGATTCTGATTCTATAGACCAATTATTGCAACAATAAAAAAAACTGATAAAAAACACTGACCTAATCACAAAACCTAACTTTGATCAATAAAGTATGAAAAATAACTAAATCTTAAATAAATCCAGTCGAATAGACATGTATGCATGCATGCAAGCAATGATTCTATTCACCTATTACTTAATGTGCTGTGACTTTGAGATGAAGAACTGCAATAAAAGTGCTGATCCTTTGCTTTTGTATGTATTTATTTATAGTGTCAGTGATTGTGTGATATATATTATTAGTCAAATTGTGTTGAATCTATTAGTAAAAACATACACCAAACATCAACTTGTAATATTTAGGATAGACATATATAGAAACTGTTTTGCCTATGTAACCCTGTTGTAACCCTGTGTATACTAATGATCATAATATTATCCATGGTGGTTGGTTCATTTTATGTCCGTCATTTAGCCACATCATCTGATAAAGTTATAACAAAACATACAACGGATGTAGGGGGTTATATAAAAATAAGGAGATGTAGTAGATATTATTGTCAATAAGACCGACAACTACCCATAAAGATCAATGGATAACAAATACAGGTCACTATATCATCTTCAACAATGAGCAAAATGCATACCATATAGTAAGCTGTAATATGCTCCAGTATGACAAAATGTGAAACAAATCAAAAGAGAAAACCATAGGTCTGCTTTAATCAACAACTATGACCATAAACCATCTGAAACAAAACTGTAAAAATCAGTTGGAAAGAGATTGACTCATCACAAAAATAAATAAACAGAAGACAATATTTACCAATCTTACAGTACTTGCAGTTACTGAAAGCTAGTTTAATGCCGAATTTCAACATTGTTGTTTTTTTTTCAATTACACAAGAATTTTAAAAACCTTAACCATATGACGAAATGAACGAACCCAAGACAGCACAAAAACTTTATGTTCGCCACACATATATGGGGCAGACTTAAACACTCATAAGTTAATGAAAAGGATTAAAATGTCCATATTCAGCCAATGGGTATGTGCGCTTTGGGAAGTAGAGAAATTAATTTCATTTTCCATATTCATCCTATTTCATTGAGTTTTTCATATCAGTGACTCAATGACTTTCAAACTATATAAGACATCCTTAGGGATATTGGAGAAATTACTCAAAAAAGAAGGAAAAATTATGTTAGACATATATTTAATGAATCAATTTAAGTAATATGCTTAGAAATTAATACATGTCATAGAATAAATAAAGTAATTTTAAATATATGGCATCTCACTTCCGAAACCCCACAACAAATTTTGAGGATATATTAAGTACTGTGTGAACATATTAAGAATGACTGTTTTTTTCAAGATCATTGTCCTTTTAAATGTTTGGAGAAATATTCCAAATAAACATTTGCTATGCTACAGAATGACTTATTTTCAATGAAATCTATAAATGTTCAATAATAAAATCTACATAAAAAATCATCATGTAAATATCTATCTCATTAGAACATTTTTTACTTCTTTAATTGAACAGATAATCGGTTAAACTTTGTTCAATGTCACGAAAATATTTGGTAAAGTTTGCTTTCATAAAATGTTTAAAACACTGTCAACAAGGCAAATACTCCATAAACCAAAGCACATGGATAGGCAACTAGTGGCTGTTGATGATCCATGGATAAAGCTGATACAAACAGTTTAGAGGCTGATGCACTGCACCAAATGACGGCTAATACTGTAAACAAAATACCCAGCATACCCCTGAAAAATGAAACATGAAAATAATATAATCCTTGTTTTTTTTAAGACATTTAATTTTATTTTTTATTCAAACCAGGGACTAATACATTTATATATTAGTCCCAGTTCAAACAGCTGAGGATGCAAAAAAATTGAGCCAGGTTTCATTCCCGGCATCAGAGCTTTAATTATAATTGCCAGAAGGTAAAGATAAATTATTTAAATGCCCAAAAAGGCATAAGCCAGGGCCAATCGTGCAAGACCCTCATGGATATTCAAGGTCGTTAAAAACCCCCTTGTAGTGACAGTTCAAACACAGAATTATACTTCAGTATTTTTTGCCTAATGTCCCCAAACTTCTGACACCTTCTATATTAATTTATAAATTGGTCATCTTTTATAAATAATAATCTGTCAACATTCTTACACACCCCTAGGATATATTTTACAAGAAAAAGACTGTCAAAAAATTTATAAAATAATAAAATTCAGAACTATTTTGAGTTATCTCCCTTGCAATATGAACTGTTTGAAAAAATATGAGACAGTGTTTTAGTTAAAACTTAAACATCACCTACTCCTGTGATAAAAGCTCCACTACAATTACCATATAAAAAAATCTATAATCCTTTCAAAGTCATGTTAATACTGCCAAATAAATTTTGAAGAAATTAAAAAAACATCTGACAGTTATGATGTCATAGTTATCAAGTTATCTCATATTAATATGACAAATTATGACACTTTATGCACAGTATTTACTTAATTTAATGAGTTATTGTGTTTTTATTTGTTTAAACTAGTAGCACATGCATTATATTAACTTCCAATGGGTGTGTTCATCATATGTAGCACATAGAGCTTAAAGGTTTTCTTACTTCAAATTTGTTTTGGTTGACTTTTCTTACAGTAATAGTCATTTATCATGACAGAATCATTTTTTTTTCATTATATAATAGTTTACTCAGCCTGAATATGTGTATTTTGTTTAGTAATATATAACCTATATTTTTCCTAAAAAAAATTTGTTTTGAGGAAAAATTGTTTTATAATTGATTTTGTGGTTTTGTTTTGTCTGTTTACAAGCTTTCAGAAAATTTATATTTCGTAGAACATTTGAAGTTGTGCTTTACCTATACCAACAATATCCACAAAAGTTATTACCTACTATTAATAATGGATCCACAGTGTAGGTTGAAACATGCAACCTATCTATTTTATATGGAATAATTAATGTCTTTCAACTTCACATTTTGTAAAATCTTTGGAATTTTTCAGTCTTTCAAAACTATGTGATCATATTGTGTCACTAAAGACATCAACTTCATATATGTACTTTGGAATAGTAAGTGTGAAGATTTATATTCTATTATTTGGTCAGCTGTTTGATTTTTCTGTATTTATTGTATGTATATGATAAGTCTACATTGATATCAAGTAGCTACACATGTATTACCAGTAGAAAAGCCTACATATATCTAAGCTTTAAAGTTCGTACTTTATCATTCACACTAATGCTCCTACAGCAGTTTAATTAGAAAGAAGTAAATTTGTTTTGGGGTTGATCTATACCTTTTTACCATTGGTGAATTTTAACAACACTGAACTTTTCCATTCATTACAATTATCAGGAATGGGTCTATCAGTATACCTAATATAAGATTGAGTAAGACCAAAATAAATAAATTGTTAGTTTCGTACTCCAAAAAACATAAAACAGAGTATGTAGGTAAAACATTTTATTTATTCCACAAGATATAATCTGCTAAATCTGGAACACGATTCTGACTGTTTTGGTCTAACAAAGTTGAGTTACTTCATATAATTTAATCAAATTCTTGGTAGCTGATGTGATTTACATATGTGTAGTACAGTTTTCAAAAGCTTTGATTATCAAAGTATTCTAAACCAAATACTGAAAACAGTAAGACCCAAAAGCAAGATTTAAAAAAAAAAAATATTTATCACCAATAAAATGTTTAGGGTTGAGGCCTGCAACGGAGATAGGGTTGGGAAATTGGACTTTTTATACCCTTGAATTCAATGCGATATATTTCAAGTATTAGACTTACTTCAAAGATAACAAAGCAGCAGAGAATGACAGTATGACCATTGGTAGGAGACAGTAACCTAACACACTGATAATACAGCCGACAGACACTCCGGTCATACTCATCAAGTTCAGTAAAGTATACATGGCCAGACAACCGACTACACCAATTCCATAGATATAACCAAAACTCAACTTCCCGGACTGAAAATATAAAGTAAATATTAAGCATAGTCTTTACTAGACATTATTGAGTCTTTAATAGACATAGTCATTAATAGACATTTATGTACTGTGGATTCATTAAAATATTTCGTGGATACTAATTTTTGGCGATTGACGAAAAATGTGTTTTTGTATATGTTTGATTTTGTGGTTTGTGCAAAAGTCTCCAACAAACATATCGATACTTTGTACTTCACTGATCATTTAAATTCATAATCTATACCCACGAAATCCACAAAATTGGTATCCCAGGAATAATAATGAATCTACCATATATATACTTATTTCATTTAATGTAATCAAAACTGAAAATTTCTTCACTGAAAAATAAAGTAAACATGTAAAGTATGTATGATAACTGATGACATCAAGGCCATTCCTTAAATGTATGAGCCAAAAATGTGGGAAAAAAATTGGTTGATTATATGGGGAATCACTGTAGCATGACTGGATCGAGCCCCCTCTTAGGGCAGTCAGTGGGCCCCCCTTATGAAAAATTCTGGATCTGCCACTGTAAGCAACTGAAATGCAACTGTCCTGGCTAAAAAAATAAATGTAAAGTATTAAGATAAAGAGATATCCAGCTACAGCAAATCCATTGATGTATCTAAAACTTGACTTCCTTCCCCTGCCTAAAAAATAAAGTAAATAAAACTTATATCTGTTCACACATTTAACTACACCAATGTAACAACAAAAATATTACAGAGACCCAACATCCCAGTATACATACATGTACATGTAAAACCAAATGCCAAAAGTGATTAGTAAATGACAATAATACTTGATAAGACATTAAACTACAATTCCAATTCATGGAAAACCAATTTCCATGACTTAAATAAATTGTATATATTTAACGCATATATATTTATGGGTTTCTTTATTTGCAGTTTTACATTTTGGGTATTCATTTCTTTTATTTTCAGTCTGCACTTTGTCAATTTAGTTCATTTTCCTTTCACAAACGTGAGAGAATTTCAGCATACTTAAAAACAATACATTTCCCAGTTGTATCATTCTTTAGAATTAAAACATCATCAGAAGAACTGCTATCTATCTGGTTTGCCAGATGGTTACCAGTTTTTGTAATCTTTGCTATCAAACATTCTCATATGTCATCGTTTTTTGCTGCATATATCATTAGGCTTCATGCTGAGTGCAAACATAGAACAACATAAAGTGCATGATAGAGGACATGTATAAAATAATGGAATGCATCTTGGACCAGAAATGGCAAGGTTCCCAATATTTGCTATTAACATATAAAGGTCCTAACACTTCAATAAACTTGTGTTTTCCCAAGTATTTTCAAATTGAACATTTGTATTTGAAATATATTCTATAAGAAAATCTATTCCGATAGTAACATGATACCATGCTGCGGTAAATCCCTGCAGAGAACACTGTGAACTGTTAGGTCATAAATTGATCTGATTTTAGTGTGTCATCAGTTAACAATCATAATTTGTGTTGATTCCAATTGTCTTTAGTATTCAAGTCTTAGGGTTACATAATTTAAAAAAAAAGTTTTTGCAATCCTGTTTGAGATTGATGTATGAGATTTTCAATGTTTTCTGAAGTCAGAACTTTTATAAAAAGCTTAATTATATAATTTCAATGACCCTGTGCATACTGGTACCAAAAATCAGTTCAATATTTAAAACAGTCATAGCAAAAAACTTAGTGTGGACAAGTAAAAAGTCTAAACCACATAATAATTCATTCAAAAAAGAGGTAAACCAAAATAACCACAAACTTCAACTGTAAGTCTTCATAATTATAACACAATTAAATATCTATGAAGGTTTAAGCCTTACACAGCAAAAGAGACAATAACAAATTGTCATAACATTATACAACATTAATAGTCATAATCATATAAAAATAGAAATTATCTCAATAACTGCAGGCACTGAAAAAATAAAATTATTTGGGAAATATGTTTGGTAATGTTCAAATTAAGTACTTTCATCATAGGTGTATTAACTAAAGCAAAGCACAAGTGTGATCTGTAACTCTTCATAAGTTAAATATATGTTGTTATTACCAAGACAGAAAGAAATATATCTACCGCAAACTCCATCATTCATTATAAAATAACATACAAAACCATATCAATATTTAAAACCATAATGCAAAAAAGTACAGACAAAAGGTGTATTTCAGTAAAGACATTTGTAAAACTACATGCACCAAGCACTTAGTGGCCCTATCAGGAACAATAATCCTGGAGTCCACTTTCAGGAATTTATTGACAGGTATTTAAAATGCTTTAACTGAAAATCTTGTATCTGGAAATTAATAAATGGTTATTCATTTTATACCTTTAAATTTCTTGAAATAAATCATGCTATTAGTTAACTAAAAAATTCAACATCTCCTGATACAGGAACCATTCCATTCATTTATTCCATATTTTCATCACTGCCTAATTTGATCAAATTGCTTAATGCAAATGCATGACTTCCTTCAGGGAGTTGTAAAATAACCTCAATCATGATTCTGGTAGTAAATTTCATAAAAAACACATGCTAATTTGCATATATTGTTTATTGTCTTTCACTTGATAACACAGTTATAACTTATCAGTTTTATGTCAGGTGCCCTTGGAGTGTATACAAAAAACTCCTAGTTTGCAAATCATTGACCTGATTATGATCCAATTCAGCTTTACATATAATACTCTTTCTTGCCTGTGATGGTAAATTTTGAAAAGCATATTTGTTCTGTCAAACAGTTAAGTTCTCAAAGAAATTTTGTTATAAACAATGCCATAATACAATGCAATAAATATTTGTTCCAGAGGAAATAATATTACAGAATATTTCTTCCACTTGGAACTTATATTATAAAACGAACTTCTATTTCATGACAAGCAACAGCTGATTCAATGCATGACTTATAAACAACAAAGTTTTGTTTGGCACATCTTCATCTTAAGATCTACATGCATAAGATTAAAGTCAGGAGTCAATGAACTTTTATATTTAAGCACTAACAGTAATACAAAATTACAACACACTAAAGTCACTTTGAAATCAGTAAAAGTTGTCTCATTAGTTTTGTTTGAACACTAATATGTGAAACCTGAAAGTTAATCACACTAAATTATAAAGAGCAATAAACCAACAAGAAAATAAAAGGACAAACATTTAAGCATCCAAGAATAAAACCTCAAAACTCGGAAACGTAAAATCTGAAATTTATAAAAAACGAAAGGGAACTCACGTCAATAGATATAAACAATTCACCAAAGTTTTATGCAAATTAGTTAAAGCGTTTTTGAGTTAATGTCCGACATGTTGACGACGGACGGACAGACGGGCGGACAGAGGTATACCATAGTATGTCCCGTAAACAGGCGTATAAAAACTTATCAGCTGTTAACAATTCAAAATACAATATTGCACATGTTTACCCTTTGTTAACCTTCAGGATGTTATTAAACTCTTAAGTTTCAGGATTCTATTGCACAATACCCTTAACATTAATGATCCAATTGCACAATTGTTTAACCTTGACTTTCATGATTTTGAATTGTCAGCAGAAATTACAGGTTTTAACCTTTCTGTTTTGTTCCTATTGGTTTTTGTGACATTTATTTATATATTATTATTTTTCATATCATAAATTGGTATTTCTTACAAAATTCAGATATAAACACTGTTTTCCTTGACATCTAGATAGTATATCTACGATTGTCAAAAAGGTTGTTGGTGGAGGCATATCCCAGGACAAAATAAGAGTGGTAGGGGGCAGCAGTCAGAAATCAGAAATAAAAACATATACTAAAAAAAACATTAGGCTATAAGAGGTTATCATGGCCAGGCCCCTCTTTAATGGATCCAACACTGGAACTTACGAGCATAAGTGTTCCACCAAATGCTAAACAAAACACCAAGGGTCCAGCTAAATCTGTGTCCTGCATGATGGTGTGGTCAGCTTGTTTAAGCGGGTTCAGGACTGCTAATGTCTGAAAAAGATAGAAACATTCATTTCAATAAGGATGGTTCAAATAGATTTTACTTAAAAGTAATCCTGGGTAAAAACAGTAGTACATATATGATTTTTGGGATATAAGCCTTAAAGATAGTACACATTTGTTAATTCAAGCAGGACTTGAAAGGTACCGGTATTCTACTGCAAAATCCTACAGTATACAAGATATGGATTGTAAACAATTTATACATTGACAATACATTTTGGTGCTTTCAGTTATAATTTGGTTAAAATAGACTGACATCAGAACAAAATGTACATGTACTTAAGGTTTAAATTTTGTATCAAGTAACAGTCCTTGTGGAAATATTTTCTATTCACAAACAAGTAATTAATTATTGACAAAATGCCTATTCTGTATGACAGATCACTTTACAGAATTACAAGAACAATTTATTTCAGTTATTTTGATTTTGATATGCATTCAATCCCTGAAGTTTATAATAATGCAAAATACTGGTAATTAAAATCATTCTTGGATCTTAAGATTTTTGTTTGATTGTATATCTTGACTATATAAATAGACATGCCAAATTCCATTGGAGGATGTAAGAAGGTCTGAAATTGAGTTTCCTCATAGACCCTGTGTGAGCCATGAAATTAAAAAAAAAAAAAGAATGTGTCTGAGGACATAAATGCCCCCGCCCCCTCCTCAAGTTTTGCAATTTTCCAAGTTAAAAAGAGGCATAACTTTAGAACGGTAAATGACTCACTGCCCAAGTTTTAACTCTGTCTGTGTGTTGTGGTTCTCTGCATTGTGTATGAGTTTCATAACATTTGGATGAGTAAACTTAAGTTAGAGTGCAGAAACGAAAAAGGGACTGACAGAAGGACAGTCAAAGGTAATAAACACTTAATGCCCCCATTGCCTACAGCGGGAACATAAAAAGTGACTATAATAATCTTAAGGATCTAGCATTAAATTTTGACCGTACTAACTTCAATAATCTAAAAGATTTCTATTTCTTAGGCACGGCATAGAGTGTTATTTACTTCAATATCCTAGCACTTTGTAAAGTTCCTTAGTTTAAATAATTATATATATAAGTATCAATTTTTCATAGTCATTTTCAAAGTGAAAAAAAATTATACATGTATGAAGTTGCACACAAAAACTATGTAGGTTTTTTATGCTTTCATGAAGACATCAATATACTTCAAATGGCAGAATTCTGATAAGAAACCAGTTCAATGTTCTTTGTGTAAAGGCGGTTACCAGGTATTTTATCAGTTGTCATGCACACCTAGGCAGAACAGAGATCAAAACACCAACACAAAAATTACTTTAAATCACTTTTGCAATTTTCTTTTTATGGATCAAAGTTACGATTAAGACTCAAGGTCATGTTTTTACAGTCCCTAAATTTGTTTTTTTGATTGAAATCTTATTTAATAGTTTTTCTCTATCCTGTCAAGATGTGGTAAGTGATAGGTCTGGATAAAAAGTGAGGGAATAATTACCACATTCTTCACTTTATTGTTATAACAACATTTGATCCTGTTTAATTCTGATGTCTTTATGATTATGAATTTATTTGATGACATTTATATCTTCAATAGATTCTTAATTTTTCATATCAAAATTCTTTTATCAACTATGTGACTATAAGAAATATATACATTATGCTTATATGGTAAATACAACTGAAAGATATTAAAATTATAATTAAACCAGCATTCTGATAGGTAATTATATATGACAGCCTGAAATCAACAGAACTCAAACAATTGAAAGTCAGGTGTTGAGGAGTCAATATATATTTGTTATGCCTAACAGAAGTTACCCTGGAAACTTTGATATAAGCAATGCCATAATACCTGTTCCAGTTGAACAAATATTCTATAACCTTTATTTTGTAAGGAACACTTACTGCAATATCTACGAAATCTGAAGTCATTTAAACATGATCACCACAGAAGTCAAAAGTCAAACTGTTGATGCTATTGGGGAAAAAAAAACAAGTGATAAAATCAAAATTTCAGATTAATTATTTCTGTCAAATTTTCTTTGGTATTGAGTGACACTTGCTGCCACATGACCAGACAGAAGATCTGTGAAAGGATAGGCAAACTGTAATAGTTTGTCCCTTGTAGGAAGTTCTAGTTGACTGAAGGTATATGGGCAACTCTTTTTAGGAGAGAATTGGCTCCTCACAGTTAAAATAAAAGAAGAATGTGTCCAATTGGGACACACTCACAGATGCCCTTACTTGAAAATATACAGCAAATTCAGCAATTTTTCCATTTATCAAGGGACATAACTCAAGAACAGTGTAAGTGACGCCACCCAAATTCAAATTTGATTTGACTTTTTGGTGGAAAAAGGCAATGTGGATAAGTTTCATAACATTTGGTTGAGGCAAACTGAAGTAAGAGAACAGAAATCAATTTTCAGACGTACAGACGTACAGACGTACAGACGTACAGCCGTACAGGGATAAACCTTAATGTCCCTTGGTTTTCGTCTGCGAAGCCAGTGGCATAAAAATAGGCTTTTGATGTAATTCATATAACAAAATGTAGACAGTCTTGTTGCAATATGCAAATTAGTATTGATGCACTGGGAAATTACCTTTTGGTTACAAACTTCAAGTAGGTGCGCTTAATATAAATTCAGGATCAGCTATTGAAATCCTTCAACAAACTTTTCAGACCTTTAACTGTCATACCCATCATTACAATTTGTTTATTTACAGAATTAAGATTTAGTGAGTAAACACTTGACAGACTTCAAAATGATACACCTTTTATCCACTCTCAGGTCTTTTAAAAGAAATGATTTTCTGAGTCTGTTGGTAAATACTTGATTGACTGTGTCTACTGATATAAGTAGCTATATATTCATATAATGGGTTCTGATGGACAACTGCACATTTTCCCACATAAATATGACCTTTTTTGGAAAATTCAAGACAATAACATTTTTAATCATTTAAAACCACTGCAAAGGTCAAGTGGTATAATGTTTCAAATTACCCGTTTTCTTTGAAACTGTAAATGGAGAGCATGATTCATATTACAAAATCACATTGTCTCCTCAGAGTGAATGGGACTCAAATCCGGGACCTCTGTGTTACAAGGCAGCGCTCTTAACTGACTGAGCTAAAGAATACTTTCCTAGCACAACCGCTTACAGCTGGCTAAGTATCTTGACTACATGTACTACGGGCAGCAATCCCATCACACAACCATCTTATTTCATTTACACTTGGATATTCGAAATAAAAAGTCTATATATAGCCATGCATCAATGTTTTACCAGCATGACTATTTACATCCTTTTCCTCTAATCAAGGTTGTTAACTCTGAGAAGTGACTATTGGTTTAATTAATGACATTATTTTTGCAGGGCAGTACTTTTGATACAGTAACAGTTCATTTTGCCTTACACACACTTTGTGGCTGACTGTGCAGCAAAACTGAATGTTGAAATCAAATGGATGCGCTCTGTCAAATTGGGTGGAGAATTATTTCTAAATAGCTACTGAAATGGATATTTGATATTTAAATGTACATGTAACTTAATAATTAACAAAGCGACTATGTCATTTTCTTTTCATATAAGAATACAAGGAGACATGCTGCTCTGTACAGTTGCAGTGTAATAGTTTCATTAGCGGTTATTTGTATACTGGATTACAATGCAGTGGGAGAAACCAGAGTACGGAGTACCACAAGTAAAACCTACAGAAAATAATTTAAAATGACATGCAAAGCCAAACACAATGAACTATTGCCATTCAATGTCCCTGGTAGTTGCTTTGGAAGTGCATTAAGAGTTAACAGTTGGGACCATTTAGCATATGAATGGTCCCATTAGTGGTCATAGCTTTTTACTCAGATTTGTACAATTTATAATTTAAAGAACTCCACTTTAAGTTGCATATCGCTTAATTGCATATTTTTTCTCCTGCACAAAACCATTTCCTATTCAATTAATGTTGAAAAATTTGCATAGCCTGAAAAGTGGCCTAGAATCAGTTTATTGCATAGAAAAAAATGCAAGTTAGATAATGCTTAGTTAAAATCTGAAGATTTTTTTTTTACACAAATCTGCATTTGTACATAACCATGTTTACAACCACCAAGGTCAAATCTCTTGTTATAAAATTCGCAAAATTCACTATTTTATAATTCCAACAATTATTCAACATCCAAGTAACACTAAAATCTGAGATTTACAAACTATTAATTTCATGCAACAGTTCATATCTACCCAGTAATATATTACTTCTGTTATGTATTGGGATTAAATATTATGTAACTCAGATTTACACCTGTCTACCTATACTAAACACTTGACAGGTAAGAAACCCTTTGATCTTTTAAACCTGATATTATAATTCACATTATATCAAAGAAAAACAAAGACTATTTTGATGGAATTAAAAGATAAAATGACAGAAAATTGTCCAATGTATTTTAATATCAAATCCAGTCTTTTAACTGATCAAAAGGTAATAATCAGGTGTCTTACATAACATTCATATAGGGGAATTTTGAAATCATTCCTTTTTTTGTTTGAAAAGAATATACCTGCCATTACTTGCATCCCATTTTATTTTTATCTGTTGAGAATTGTAGAAACTTTTTTGTTGCAATATATCAAACTTTTTGAGGCGTCTGTTGAACCATGTTAGAGCTTTCAAAACATGAAAATGCAGATTTTAACTGATGTTAGTCTGTTGTGGAACACACTTGACTCATGGCCTTAAGATTTTCTTCCTACAGACAAGCTGGGGCTTGGATATTATTTCTCCCCTAGGCCGGGGGATGGCTGCCCCGGCCGACCTTTCCCCTGCTCATGGGGGAGGGCACATGATATCAGTACTCATACTATAGTTTTTGTCCCTCCCAGCTTTTAAATTTATACTTTTTCTCTTATCTTCTTTTTCTCAATCCATCCACCTCTATGTTGTTTTCTAAAGAGCCTACTTTATATGCCAATAAAACAACATAAGAGATGAGAAGCAC